CACAGAGCATGTTCCTCAGCTTTCTAAGCCAGTATCAGGATTTGAAACCTAATGTGAGCCAGCACAGGGAGCCAGTGGAGGGATGCAGGAGCAGAGTGACATCCTGAGTTGTTGTCATTCCTTTTCCAATTGTTTGTATTGTCATCTTTGCCAGGCTGAATTTGTAGGCTTCAGGTTCCATTCTCCTGTTTTCTCCTGTTGTTTTTAAGCTATGGTGGTAGGTGGTTAGGGTGGAGGGTTACTTATTTTTGTTGCCTTTCTCTCAGGGGCGCACAATTAATTGAAATATTATCAAAATTGCTTTATGGCCAAGTGCAATATCCAAATCACAGGAGCAGCAATTTTTTTGATGAAGGTAAAATGTGTCACAACATACATGAATTTTGACATGAAGCAGGGTAGCATTTGACCCAGGCCCCAATCTTGATCTTGACTAGCATCTCCCTTATCAAACATGTCTGCCCAAAGGTTTCTTGGGTCAAGTCTCTGGTGGAAACAGAATGAAATAGATGTAACTTAAAGAAAATAGTAAGCTGTCGCCCTGTTTTCCTCATCCACTTTAGATTGTCCTCACATTGATAGTTGCAAGAATAAAGAGGATTGCACAATAAAGAGTCCAGATTAGTGTGAGTGAAAGGGGAATAATGAATATGAAATATAGCTGAGGTTTATATCAGTAAACAGGGTGCAAGCACAGGGGTGCAAGGTTTCCTAAAGGCAGGTTTAAATGCATAGATTACAATCAGGATCTGATTTGACCTGTGAAACCTCCTTCAGATTACAGTCAATTCTTTTTTCTTTTTGTCTTTACTGAGGAAGCTTCTCTGCGTGGTGAACGAATATCTTCCTTGCACAGTAGATAGAAATGTTTGTATGCAGAGCAGCTCCAAAAGGACTTGGGCTTTCATTTCTTCGCTGCTTTAGAGTTGTAAAATATGACACAGAAAAATTAGGAGCAGTCTGGACATAACACCTGTTTGTTTTGCTTTTCTTTTCTTTGCCATCACGCCACCGACTCGCCTGCTTTGTGCAGTGAAAAATGACATCCACTCCCAGTGCAGACAGATTGTAGACAGTGAGAACACATAAAATAGCAGGTGATGTTTTTTTTTCTTTTCCTATGATGTCCAGACTGCATGTTAATGACAGCTGTAAATTCTGCCTATATTAACAACATTTGAATGATGGATGACAACTTCTACTGAAGCCAACAGTTACAAGAAATAATGTTAGCAATTCAGCACATTGCTAATGAGCGCTTGTTTGTGGAGTTTTTATTTTTTTCTTTGGTCTAATTTAAATAAAGAATAAAGTGAGACAAAATACCTTCAGCTTCCTGAAACCAGCAGATGCCCTGCAACAGTAACGGGTAAATGTGGTGGTGTGTTGAGCTGATTTGTGTTTGCAGTCAAGTCAACAGCCTGGGACATCAATACTTACTTCACTATGTTGCTTTGGCAATCACCAGAAAAGCTGATTGCAACAAGAGCGATGACGAGTGGCTGTGAGGAGAGTAGCAATAAAACAGACTTTTCTGGTGATAAACTGAGCGTTGTGAGAGTAAAAGTGAGGATACACACAACCAGATGTCATTTTGTGGTGTAATTTGGTTTGCACCAAAAAGAGGCAGTGACTTCTGATGTGGAGCCTTGTGTGTGAGTTCAATTGGTGGCTATTACAGAGAGTGTGGGTGTATGTAAACTAGAGCCAGAGTGAGCATTAATTCACATTTAGACATGTTTACTTTCCCCACTATAACTATCACAGTACTCAAAGGTGTGTGTGCGTGCGTGTGTGTGAGTGAAAAGCATTTGGGAGCAGGAGCTACAGTCATCACAGGGAAGAAAGTGTTTGTGCATGTGTGTTTTGCATGCTATGCACATAGCTCTCAGAGCTGTAGCCTTGTTACAGGGCATCCAAATCAGGGAAGGGCGTCAGTCGTGTGTGTGTTATCAGAACAGGATGAAGACTGAGTGAAATTTACAGAGATACTGAATGGTGGGAAGTGTGTATATGTGTGTTTCACATCTTAGGGGAAACTTTGAGGAGTAGTGGGGGGACTGTGTATGTGTGTGTGTGTGTGTGTGTGTGTGTGTGTGTGTGTGTGGTAGCCACAGGCATACAGAGCAGCCTGATAATGAACACATTGATCTGGTACAGCAGAGAGGAAAAGGACAAACCTTCATGTATTAATCGTGTCTCCATCTTCCTTCTCCATTATTTCTGAGTCCTTCATTAATAGCAGCTGCTTCTGTTTGTTTCTCATTCTATGTCTCTCCATATTTTTTATTTCATTGATACCTTTTGGTTGCTTTTCGCTTTACTTACTCTCAGGTATTAACTTTGTTTACAGATAAATTATAGATGAACATGACATCAAACATAGGAAAGTGAGGGAAAAGACCAAAGTTGTGCAGGTGAAACTTGAAAATGTCTTCACAACAACTCCAAACTACAAAGAGGAAATAAATACAAATTAAAACTTTTCCTTCTTTCATTTTCATATTTTTCTTTTTTTTGTGCTCCTTTTGCTCGTTGTGGTGCTTTCTTATGTCGTGCATATGGGGAAAATATGATAAAGGCTTCTTCTGTGATACAAATGAAATACTTAACTTTCACTCTGTGGATCCAAAACATAATCTACCAGCTTCATGTTACCAGCTTAAATACATAGTTCAACATTCTGGGAAATATGCTTTTCAGCTTTCATTGCAGAGAGCTAATCAGTAATGGTAGCTTCATATTTACTGTACAGATATGAGAATGGTATTGATCCTCTCATTTAGCTCTCAGCAAGAACGTGTATATGTGAAAATATGTCAGGTTCTTTAGCCAGCAATGTGTTTGTGGTATTAAGTTATTCAAAGCAAACTAGCTTCCCTTACCACCCTGCATTTGGCTGCCCTCACGTCAAACCTTTGATTTTGATCCAATAGAAATGTATAACAAAACAATATCCAGATTTCATATGGCTGCTTATTTTAGGAGGCAGGTATGTAAGGCAGCAGCATGTATTTTAACACTGTCATGTTGGCAGATACTATGGAAGGAGAATATGATGTCCACAGGTTTGAAGTCTTATTGCAGTTGCAGCATTCGGCAGAAATCCCGTTTTGTTTTGGACCACAGCTCGTAGCCCAAGGCTTGGCAGTGTAGCACGTCCATGTGAATCCCTCAGCTCCCTTCTCTTTCTCCTCTCCAGCTCTCCTCCGTGTAGCAGACATCTCAGAATACAGTGTCATTTTTTGTTTGTACATGTGTACCACAGAAAATGAAATCCTCTCTTCCCTTGCTGGACACGTGAATGTCTGGAAAGAAGCACGCAGTTTTGTCTCTCAATTTTAATGGCGCCTTATTGGTTTATACACTGACAAAGGAGCAGGCGCATTTTTCCACTGCTGTATCGTCCCCTTTCTGGAATTTGATTTTTCTCTGTCATCTGAGATGTATATAAATAATATATTGCAGTCATCTCTTTGTTCTCTCTGAATTTCTTTCTTCTCTTGGCTCCTAAGAAGAAACTTGAATGTAAATGACTCTTGCTCTCGCTCTCTGTTTCAGTTCTTTCTCTGTACTTCTCATTTTGGCTCTATTGGCATGACCAACAGGCGCTTTATTTGCCTGACCACATTGATCTCCCCGCTGCACCTCCCTCCCTCTCTCTCTCAGTGCTGGTAATGAGGTGTGTGTCTGTGTGGTTTGTATATTTTTTGACTCCCCTCTCCCAATTATGGGATTCCTGAGTGATTGTGCTCCAGCAATTATTTCAAGTCACTCTGGGTTCGACTGTCAGCTAAATGCTCAAATTATGGCTGTAAATTCTGTCCATCTGTGGGTTACGTTTTGTGTGTGCAGATAATAACAGGCATTTTGTATCTTTACACCAATGTTTGTGTGACAGAGAGATCTGTCTTTGCACCATCTACCGTATATAGATAGTGAAACCAGTGTTACATTTTTGGGCTTAGAGGAAGCTGCGCTACCCACTATCCAGGACGTCCTCAGGGACCCGGTGTCCCTCTTGGTCCTGAGCTCTGGTTGTGTGTGTGTGTGTGTGTGTGTGTGTGTGTGTGTGTGTGTGTCTTTGTGCATTTGTAAATAAAGGGGTCATTTGGAGGTTGGTTCGTGAGTGGCAGGGGTTGTCTTTTAAAATGCCACTTAAAAACCAATCCGACATTTTCAAAGACATTTTTAGCAAACTTAAAGAAATAATCTTTTCACAGTTTACATTCCTTCACACTCTCTTGGGGACATTAGACAGCACTAAACACATCTGAAGCCGCTCCAAGAATATATTAACATATTTCACTCAATCCCTTAGACTTACACTCCCTCTCTCCCTTTCTTTCAGTCACCCTTTCTCAGCCTCTTACAACAACTCAAAGACGTCTCCCCACGTTGCTAAGACAGGCTTACAAGAGTGAAAAAAAATTACCAACAAATCAAGTAATGAAATTAACTCCGACAATTACATCTCTTTCTTTTCTTCTCTCTCATTCATTCTCCCTCTCTTTGTTAATTTAGAGAGCTTAATTGGTGTGATAATACTTTTGAGGCAAACAAACAACAACAAAGTAGAAATGAAATGTAATTACTTTCAACAGTTGACTTTCTCCCTCTGCTCCTCGTATGTGTGTGTGTTTGTGTGTGTGTGTTTGTCTATTGCAGTGTTTAGCGTACTCTGCTGTTTGAATGTGGTTTTTGTGATTCCACTATTTGTGTGTTTACCAGTGTGTAACGTTGTTTTTAACACCGAGCTCTGAAGCTAGATGCTGTCTTACAAAGAACTGCAGTCTTTTCTTTCAAGTGATTAATTTGCAGAACAGGACTTAAGCAGAGTGATTGCTTCCTTGACTCTTGTTGCTTCTCTCTACAAAGTGTTTTCCTTTCTCTCTGTACTTACTTTGTGCAAGAGGTGTTTCACAAACCGTCTGTGAAAAATGCTCATTAAAGAAGCTCCCAAAATAAAAGTCCCCTCCACTGTCTGTCTCCATCTCTAGACCAACATCCCGTTCCTCCAGAATGTATTCTCCAACCACCAGTTCCTCCACTCTACTGTGGACACCCAGTTCATCGACGAGAACCAGGAACTCTTCAACCTTAAACCCACTCAGAACCGAGCCCAGAAGCTGCTGCACTACCTGGGTCAGTGTATAAACAACACACACAAGCACTGAAGAATGACAAGACATGTAGTCACAATGTGATTAATTGATATTTTCTGAGCTGATTTGCCACATCAAAGATCAAAGTGATTACAAGGTTAATTGTTCAGCCACCACCTATCTAAAACAGAACTACAACTTCATGATTGTTTCTGTGGCTTTCACAGTTTTCCACTCTGCTTTTAACCAGGAAGTAACATACTGCAAATATTTTCTGAGCTGACCAGAGCTAGTTTGGATTTGATTTTAAAATTCAAACCCAGGGGGAAGGTGCCATTGCTCTTTGTACCACACTCAAAGATGGGAAATGTGTCAGCTCAAAAGACCCTCATATTCAAGATTTCTATTTTATGAAAAGAGTAAGAACCAACCAACACACTGATGTTGATGGTATACATAAAATGATGGTGGATGTAAAGTACTACCAAGGTAAACCTTGGGTCATCTCAGTCTTCTATCAAGCCTTAGGTGAAAGCACTGAAAGCTCAATGTTATACATTAAAAAACAGACAAAGAAGAGTGGAATCTGATGTACTGAACACCTTTAACCTACAACTGTAATATCACGCAGACCATAAATTTAATGTATCCATGATCGTTTCTAGCCTCAGGTGTGCTGTTTTATAACTTTTTTTTTTTAATCATCTTTACAGGATGTTACATATGTTACAGACCTGCATCTAACTTGTATTCTCTATTTTTATTCTTGTGTATAGGTCATGTGATGGTAAATGGACCAACAACACCCATCCCAGTCAAGGCTAAACCCTCCTCCACAGACCCTGTCATCCCTCATGTCACCATGGGTATGTCAAACACATCAGCCAAACACAGTGCATAGTTGACCCTGACCCTCTATCACACTTTATTCTGCTGACCCAAAAACCATGTGTCAATAACACCAGCGACTGATCAAAACAAAAAAAGGGAGGGGTACAATAACTATAAATTGTTATTGAACTTTTACAGTACCATAATGTCACAATGCATCATCCTTATTGCATTTATTACATTTGGACTAATTTAGCAAGGCACCACCACTGTGAGGGTTAGGGGTTTCATTTCCCCGGGGGCATAGATGCTAAAAATGTAAACACTTGTGGATCCGTAGGGCACTTTGGATAAAAGCGCCCACTGAATGACAAATGGGCTGTCGAACAGTCTGATAGCTGTAGGCGGAAAGGGCTTCCTAAATGACTCAGTTTAGCACTCGGGGAGGAAAAGGGTTTTGGCCCAGAGTGCTCTGCTGAGCTGTGAGTACAGCGGTAAGAGGGTGCAGCTCATTGTTTGTGAAGGCAGAAGTTCTCTACTTCTCACCCTTCTCTGCACCAGCACCCCTGGAGTCTCGCAGGAAAGGCCAACGGCCAAGCTGAGCTCTGTGATAAACTCGTTGCGCCACTTAGGGTCTCTGGAGTTTCTCTCCCCTTACTAACTAAAGTGTCTTAGTGAATTTTTAAAGGTTAAACTAAGGCTGGAATAATGATGAAATACTCTTTTTAAAATAATGATGAGATGTGCTCAGTTTTACTCTTAAATGTCTTTATAAAAGTGTAAAAAAATTTTTTAAAAATTTAAAAATGGGGGGGTATTTGACTTGATGCCACAGTCATGTTCGTTTTGCAAAGATGCACTTTTTGTTTCTTTCTCTCTACGCTCCCTGCTTTATTTTTGTTAGGGGTGCAAACTGGCATGAATTTATGCAGCTGTTCCTTTTGACAGCAACTAAATAGTCATCTGTATCAATCTGACATGTTTATCAGCACCCTGTTATGCCTCAGCACATACCACAGCATGCCCGGTAAACATGAATTTATAAGAAAATAATATGAATAATATGAATCATTATGAGGCATAGCTAATCAAATCTGACATCTAAAAACCATGCACAGTGGAACAGAATGGAGGAGAATAGGACAGAATAATTTGCGGTGTTTGTGCATGTCTGGATGTGACTGTGTTTGTCTGTGCTTACTCACCACTTGTCTACTTATGCAAATCTTGTGTTGAAAGCTATCGTTGCCCGCCCCTCTTGTCGCGGGAAAGCAAACACACACATGCACGCACACTTGAAAATCACACACTTGCAGTATGAACAAAGTGTGCAGGTACTCTATAGGCAGACATCCTTTGTGTACATGCCCCCACTTACCTATAGTAAGCTGCTGATGAGGTAGTCGTATGCAGCACAGGCACGCACAGAGGCATACCTAAAGCCTAGTAATGAGATTTGTAATGTGCTTATATCCTTTCTTTCATTCAACGGAGGGATTGAGAGAAGAGAGGGATTAGGCCTGTATTATCACACTCTGTGGAGGGACGGATAGAGGGAGGGACAGGGGCATGGAGGGAGAAAGAGGTTATGAAAGGAGAACACAGAGGGTTTGGGCAGCATATAATCCCTATATGTAGAGAAAATGGTCAGGTAGATATGGTGGCGAGCAGCTAGGGATCTATGGATAGATAAATGCTTGAGATAGATGTAGGGGGATGTAGAGGATGGCGACCAGAGTAGGAAGGGCTATTACCTTGTAACACCCAGAGAAAAGAGAAGAGCAAAGATCACAATGAGATTTTCATACCTGAAAACATCAAATGAGGAGAAAGAGGAAGAATCACAAGAAAAAGCCATTCTCGGGGAGCTCCCTCCACACCAAGGAGAGAAGGGAGGAAAATTATTCCTCAAAGACAGGGTGAGGATGTCCTGATAGAACCTGTTAAGTACTCAAAGGCCATTATTTTCTAATTAGGATTTGTAGTCTGAAATGTTCCCTCTGAAGGCTGATGCCTGGTGGTTCATCGATGGTGTATAAGTACACCTTGTTCCAATTATTGTCTGGATTTATTTAATGGAGGACATCTAGAGGTTAATCACCAGATGCCTCAGAGCTAGCTTTAGGAAGAATGACTAATAAAAATGACAGACTACTTTCCCCCTCCCAGTTGCGCGCTGCATTTTTGTTCTTGGGATTAAAAAGTAGAGGAGTGGCTGGTAGAACAACATGTAACGTCTGTGCACACTCTTTTTGTGTGCAGGTGGAGAATTGTTTTCACAAAATAAGCACACATGGACTTGATTCTTAGTATTCCCCATTTCTCTGCCTGTTTTTGATGCTTTCATTAGCCAACTTCAAACAGAAAAGGCTGTTCTTGCCAGCATTGTTTTTTTGTTTTGTTTTTTTTACTTTTCAGGTAGCTTTAAAAGGAGTCATAAAGAGTCTTATATTTGGCTTTCTGGAACCTGAAGATACTTTTTTTTTTAGGTGTGTACACTTCAGTAACTTATTTCTTCTTTGTTGTTTCTCTAAAGACATTTCTTTCAGTTATTTGTTTCACACCTCCCATACAGCTATATGGAGGAAAAAAATTCTGGTCATGGACAATGCTACCAGTTTAAGGTTTTTCAACAGGGTGTCCTTTAGCAGCTATGCTTAAGAGCAAACCATAAACAAATGCAAATGTATTTCAAATACCTTGTTGCAGTATAAGAAAGGAATATCTTTTGTTGTTTTAGAATTAGGTGGATTGGCACCTGTAGCAGGGAACAAGCTGTACATTGGTCTTATTAGTCATTGTATCACATCTATCCGCTTTTAACTTGTACAGACTTAGCTGATTAACCGTTCCAGCATTTCTTACTTTAAATAAAGCACTCAGCAGCAAGTCCCATCAGGATCTGCCAATTAAAAGGCTCCTAAACAGATACAAGACATTTAACAGTCTTCTTGGGAGGCAGATGTCAGCTCAGGACAACGACAAGGCAAGCAGTTATTACTCTGAGATTGTCTCCTACACAAATTGCAAATAGAGAAGTACCTCTGAGCACAGTCGCTCACTCTATCTAGTCATATCAGCTTGTATTGTGCAGCTGTGGGAGAAGAACTGCAGTGCGAGGAGAGGGTCAGACAGGTGAGGAATGTCAATGAAAGGGGTATGAATCGACATCATCCTGGGAGACAGAGGAAAGAAGTTGGGGTACAGAAGCTGGGGAGTGGCCGTGAGCAGTTTTTCCATACAAAAGAATGAGTCTGTTTGTGTGTAAATGGGTCAGTTGCCAAGCACAGCAACCGTGTGGGACTTGTATCTCTTTACTGCTTTTTGTTTCTGCTATGTACAATGCGACACACACAAAAAAACCACTTACTATTTTTCTCGAGGAAAATGTTACATGCATAGGCCACCGTAGTCCCAGTAAAGATGCCCTCATTTCTCCTCTACTGTGTTGAGGCATATATTTCCTGACGAGTGGTGAAAACATAGAAAGCAAGTTTGTAAAGGTGCAAGGGTGTAAGAAATGGAAGGACGAGTTTGAGTGTAAATCTAGTCTGCTTCACTGAGCTCATTTTGTGTGTCTGTGTTTGCTTGTGTAGACAAATGTATCTACATCTGTGTGGGTGTGTGTGGAGTTCATTTTGCTCATGCTTGCCTCAGAGACAATTATAGCAGAGATCATTTGTTTTCAGGGATGAGGTACAACAATAAAAGGTCAAGAGCGAATATTCAACTACGCAGAAAGAGAGAGAGGGAGATGGAGTGGAAGAGAAAGAGAGGGACGAAGGGCTGGAGGACAGCTAAGCAGGCAGCACCTCGTTAACTAGTCTAATTGATTGATTGTACACACCGCAGCAAAAATAGATCCCTATTCTGCTTCCAATATTTTAATGCCTATGGTTGTGCTTGTGTTTAATTGTGAGGCAGAGAGAGGGAAGAGAGAAGGATTAGGGTAGAAGGCTGCTTATGTCAGCACACACCGAGCGAGGTCTTCGCAATGTTTAACATGTTTGTTCTGAGAACCACTCAGCTGTAATAAACTGAAAATGCCAGTATTTGTCTTGGGGATTTCATAGCAATTGTTTTTGTTCCTCTTTGTGTAGGCTTTTAGTGGTGAAGATACTCTTTGCTACTGTGTATGACATTACAGTCTTGAAAGCTAACCAGAAACACTCATCTAACACCAACATCTTCACCCCGGGGGTCCTCAGGGACTGGAACTGGAGAGTTTCAGAAACACTCTTATAATGGCTCTTGCACCTTGTGATTTACTTTCTAGTTTAAAGTTCATGTGCTTGCATTAGTACTGTCGTATTTTTAGCCACGTTAGAGGCACGGCTCCATGGATGGGAATGTCAGTCCACTACTGTGGTCAAGACTGAATTATCTTGGTAGCTCACCTGGTACCTGGTGTGTGTGTACTACATATCAAGGCCCCCACTTTTAATTCTCTCTCCACTGTCTCTGTCTAATAAAAAGCAGAAATGCAAAAAAAAAAAAAAAAACTATTTGATTGCCATTAACTCTGGTACAGACATTCATATACAGCTTGTGCCGGGAGTCTGCTGGAAATGCAGACTTGGTGGTTGACACGGAGTTCAAAGACTAATATTTTATATGGAAATACGTAAAACACCTATACGTCAAAGAACATAGATTAAAAGGCCAGCAATATATTATTTCAGTGTAATCCATCTGGGGCTACCTCCACACTTTTGAAAATGGAATATAAATATTTATACGTTATATTAAAAGATGGGTGAAAAGTTCAATAACAGCCATCCTGGAACTTACTTGCCTTCTGCTGGAAACCAAGCTTAGTCACTTGGATGTCTTGTTTCACTAAACGGTAGCTACTTACTTTATATAGAAAACCATGGCCATATGAATCACTGTCAGCAGGAGCAATCCGTTTTCAATAATCAGTGGGTTGTGATTGATAAACCAGCTGCTGAGCTTATATACCTGTATTCTTTTATAGTCAATTTACTTGAGCTGAGGGTGATTGGAGCAGCGCTGAGAGGAAACGGTGTCCACCTCATTAGCAGAAGTTATGACAACCGACAGACTTGTTAACAGTACAACTTAAGAGAGAATACTCTGCAAATAACCTCATTTTACCTGCCCGCCTGGTGTCTTGTTATAATGGTGGACATCATTTATCTTGTTCACACACTTAAGCAGTGTCTAGTCAATACACTGCTTAAGATTGGATTAATAAAGGGCTACTCTCATATAAAAAAAAAGACCCCCCCTTTTTTTGCACATAGTTGTAATATCAGTTGTAATATAAAAGCCATATTTACAGTTTTTTGTTTAATTTCTGCATTTATTTATCATTCCATTTCTCTGACCGTGTGAACTGCTCATTATTAATGTCTGCACAATCTATTGAGTGTGATGGAACATTTTAAAGTATTCCTCCAGCATCTGATATTGATTTTTCACAAACTGCTGTATCCCATGTATAACCACAAACCTATTTTCCTCTCATTACCCCGCTGTTTTGTCCTCCACATTAACTTTCTTTTTTTCTACGTTTTATCTCTTTCTCCCTCCTTCTCTAATAGGCGACCCTCCGATAGGTTTCCGTGACGTGTTGCTGCGCGATGGTCCTGAGGGATTCGCCAAGGCTGTCCGTACCCACCAAGGACTGTTGCTAATGGATACCACATTCAGGGATGCTCACCAGTCGCTCCTGGCGACCAGGGTTCGGACCCACGACCTGAAGAAGATCTCGCCATTCGTCAGCCACAACTTCAACAATCTTTTCAGCTTGGAGAACTGGGGAGGTGAGTTTTGATGTGTTGATTTTCTTATAATGTGTTATTTATTGAGCTTTAAAAGTGCTTGTTGCCTAGAGCCAGGCTAGGAGTTTCCACCTGCTTCCAATCTTTACACCAGGCTAAGCTAACCATGTCCTGGCTCCAGCTTAATATTTCAGCTCATAAACATGACAGTCGTATTACTGTTCTCATGTAACTATGCGTAAGAAAACAACCTCCAATTTAAGTGACCATATCTGTGCCAAGCTCCAACGGCCACCCCAACATCCCTCCCTACATGGGGGTTGGGGCTGTGCCACTTACTACAGCCACTAGAGGTCACCTAACAGTATAATGTGTCTATGGGTCATGATAACCTGCTTGCACAGATGACCTATGGGGTCTTTTTTTTATTTATCCATGTTTCAGTGATTGTACCTCTTTGTTTTTCTTGTATGAGCTGTGAAAATAATGGGCCACTGAAAACGCATCTCATTCTTCCATCTTCCACAAGCCAGTCTTCAACAAGTTCCCTCAAAAGACAATGATTGTACCTTTTGCCTGCTCCTGAATGAATAGAGAAAATGACGCGTTATTGAAACTTCTTGAGGCATGCACAGTCCAATACTGTCCCTGTATAATATGCAATTACTCTGAAATTGGCCAGAGAGTGAAAATACGTGCTTCGTGTTTGAGCAGATGGCAACGAGACCAATTATCAACACTTCTTGATAACGTTCCTATGTGAAGTGCAATTGTTATGAACTGGTTTCAAAGAGTAAATTCATTCTCCCCATTTGAACACTTGAACGCTCAGGACATGCACATTTGTGGAAGAGATATGCCCAGTGCTCCTCTTGAGGTTGAAACATTTAATTTAATGCTCAATTATAGTAAACTACTCAGAGTGATTGTGCTTGTATTACTTGGAGAGCTTTGAGTAGATCACAAGAGCAAACATAAGAACAAAACAACAAAAGCCTAAAGTAAAAAGGGGTTCTGTTTCAGTTGCTATGCCCAGCGTTTAATGGTTGAACAAAGTGAGAAAAAAATAAAACCACAGAAGAGAGTATGTCTCCAGTGAAACCTTTTCATTGCTGTAAACCCTCTCTGAGGTTCAGTTCCTCCTGGTGGCTGTTCGTGGTGCACCAGTTAGGGGGAAAAGCAATATATTTCATCACTCTGGCACTTTGAGCAGACCTTACATTAAGCAACTGTCTACTTATCTCGTGTTTCAACAGATAAAAAGGTTATGGCAAAAATAAATCATTGAGGAGATGTTTTTGATAAAAAGGGCTTAAACGGTTCCCAACTTCCATCTCCCAGTATATCGTGATGTTATTATGAGACTGACCAGAGAAAGATTATATGTAGTCAGTTAAGCTGTGTTTGAGCAGTTACATTAAAAGTAAATCTTTGCAGAGAGACTATGAAAACTCGCAGTGAACTCAGTCCTTCACTCTGGAGGAAATTTCTGAATAGATACCAGAGGACCCCCTCGTCCCTGTATGTCGCATTATACTGTGTGAGTCAGTTCTGAGAGGGAAGTTCTTTGATTAAGGCACATAAATGCCTTTTTTGAAATTTCATTATCTAATATTTGAAGCCTTAAAAATGTAAATCCATCATTTTTTAAACTCAGACTATATTAAAATGTGTTTACCAAATGTTGTTCACCATCATTTATAATCATGCATAACAGAACCTCACTGATACATTTACTTCTGAGGATCCTACCACTCTGCTGCAGCTTCACTGGGTTTAACCACAGTCCAATGGGGCCACCGTTTAGTCTTTCAAAAACTGTGATAAATCTCCTTTTAGGAAATGAAAAGCTGCTCACAGCACAGTCAGACATGTCCACATGTTTGACTATTAAAAGAGCACAAACTGAGCTCTCTATCAGGCTTTCCTAACCATTTCTCTTGGTTTCATCTGTGTGGGAAACAGAAACTCTGCAAAACAGTCTATAAAACCTGATAGAGAGCATTTTTTGAGACCATTTTATGGTTGAACATAAAAGATGTTAATTTACCAGGAGCTTCCTGTTTTCGAAACTGAGCTGTATCATGGTTTTTGAAAGCGTAAGCCACTGGCCCACTGAAGTGTTTAAAAGCCAGAGAGAAGCAGCAGAGGGGTAAGATTTTCAAAGCCAATTGATGGGGTTGTATTATGCTTCAATAGGAATGGTGATTTACAGGGGTGAAAGTGGGCTGGAACGTTTCAGAACAGCATTACGTAAATAAATCTGATTTGCAGTTTCATACAAACTACCGTCAAGCAAGTTAATTTACTACTTATTCCACGTATTTGTCAGTTGTGTCTAAACAGAGAGCAAGAGAGATGAGCGCACGCACGCACACACACACACACACACACACACACACAAACAGGAGAGATGTTCCCTTCTGCAGATCATAACACAAGACCATGGTCCTTTTAACTATGTTGCAGAAGAAGTGATGCCCTGCTTACATCATACATGTAAAGTCATGAGGTTTTTATAAGGATCAGCAGCTCTACATGATTAGAACAGAGCAGATTGGCAGAGTCGCTTTGACTGGCATGGAGAAATGCACTTCTGCTGTGAACAGCCGGGCTACTGCTTGCACAAGTCGGATTGGCCATGGGGTATACTGCGACAAATCCCAGTAAGCTGGTGAACCATCCAAAAATCTATAAAGTGTTTTTTACTGGCCCTGAGTGTTTCTTCACTGGCCCTCCCTGTGTTCTCATTAGATAATCATAACCAAGTCCTCCCATCCGCAATCTAAGGGTTCTCCCACCTCCCAAATGCCGCTAACGCCTGCTGATAAATATACATTTAATTAGGTTTGAGATTAAACACCTTTCCTTTTCTGCAATTGAAAAGGAATATTATATTGTCCTCACTTTCCCTCTTAAGGCTTCAACTGACTATTTTACAGTGTAATGTGTAATTATTCACAACTGAGCAGACAGCGTGGTTAATATTCTTAATTTGGGCATTTGATGCTGTAAAGGCTCTAAGTAAACGCTGCAGAATAATCTGGTCTCTGAACCGAATCCAGTTATGATAAAATGGCAAAAGAAAAGTAAATACGTCTTTGAAACTCCCTTGTAATGCGCTAATGTTTGAATTGCAGTGGGAGTCGAGTTTTGAATTCTTCTGTCAATAAAAGCTCTTGAAGTTTTAACAGTCTTCTGTCTTCATGAAGAAGTTACAGAAAGTGAATATATGCTTGTCTCGCTCCCATTTATGCAACGACAGCAAGAGAAAGTCATTAAAATCAGATGTAAAACAAGAGATGCAGAAGTTTAAACACCTCCCAACATGATTCTGTAATAGGCTGATATTATGAGCTGAGGAGCCTAGGCTTCATTTGTCTTTCTCAGTTAAGAAAAGTTGTGGAGAGCCTGTGAATCACTAAAGAGAAATGTAATATGGTATTGGATCCTCTTGAGGCGTCAGTAGTTCCTACATGATATGATTATGATTCAGAGAAAACAGAATGGGACTTTCTCATAATTATTTAAACACTTAAAGGCAGAATAAATTCCAGAAAGAGAGATCCCCCTGACACCTTCCTGCAACTTCAGTGGTGTGCAGTATATTATCTCTGCATTAGTGTCTTCCTGTGCATATTGATGCTATAGATTTTATGATATATATATTAATTTTATTCGTTAAGTATAAAAAGCAAAGCATTTAGAAAACAGTGATGAATCTGCCACCAAGTCTTTTGGCACAGTATATTTTCTCCAGTCAATAAAAACTAATGTCATTTGCTGTTTTTGTTTTTTCTTACACACAAAAATTAGTTCTGTTTTATCACTTACTCTCAGCCATTTTTAAAAAATAAATGGACCAAGGCATCCACACTTTTGTTCCCCTCTATGGGTCAACCTCCAAAAATCTACACTTCCCATAATGCATCTCACCTTTTTTGATTTTCATTAAGATAGAGCAGATAGTGAGGTTTTACTTCCGTTGTTGGTTTCTTTTAGGTAAATATCTGTCGCCCTTATTTAAAGAATCCTCTTTGCGTTATATTTATTTCTTCTTTTTGAACAGCATTCACCAGCCCTGTTTCCCTTTTTAGTTTACCTTATTGTTGTTTGTTTGTATTGAGTATCTGAGCATCTCGAAAATGAATGAATAACTTAATTTGACCCAAAGCACCTGGTTTTATGTTTCCTCCCTCTCCCCTAAGGAGATGGGTCATAGCATAAAATCGTAACAGTACTTGTCTTGATGGGTAAACTCCATCTATAAAATTATTGGAGTGTCCCGTTAATAAAAGAATGTTATAACCTTTTGCACTATATCTCAGGATAATGTGTGAATATCGCAGTTTGCTCTTCACTCACACAGATTTCAATGGCCAAAGTTCACAGATTCGCCAGCTGCCATCCTTGCTCTCGCCTCGTATTGATTGTAGAACAAATTAGACCACCACGCTGTGGTAAAAAAGTTCGGCTCTAGCACACATTGTCCCACAGTGACAGCTTGTAACTGTACCTTTAATCAGTTCCTCATAAATCACTAAATGACCACTGGGAGGAATAACTACCATGCCTCTCTTTATAGGTCCCTATACAATGTACTTTTATTACAAAGTGATCAGAGATAAAGAATATTATGCCCAGCTGTGCTCAAATCACTTAGAAGCAAAATAAATCACTAAAGGGAGATGGCCACGTAAGTATCGAACGCTGTTGCCTAGACACATTGTCCCTATGCAAGAATCTTTTTTTACAGTGGTCTTAGATAGGGAATATTGCTTTCACATGTTTCAGCTGCTTAAGGGCAGAATGAATCATTGAAGAGATTAAGCCTGTGAAAGCCCTTTGAGGATTAAGTCCTTTCCTGATTTAGCGTTTCTCCCTACACCATACAAGATACAGTAATATGAACTGGGTCACATAACGTATCTATAGGGTTCCCTTTCACAATTATCGAATGGTAATGCTGCACATTCTTAATTACGGTATATGATCATGTTGGTGTGTGCACCTTGCATGTTTGACTGTTTTAAGGAATGCAAGCTGTTTCTTGGCGCAGGCTGTGGACACAAGCAAAAGCATGAAAGTCTGCACTGTACAAAGGCAAATCAGCCAATCCAGAGTAATGCAGTGGAATCACAGATGACATAAAAATTGATCTGGCAGATGCATCAGGGTTATAATTGCACATTTAAGCACAAATGCTGATAAGTGCTGTGCGTGTGCTTATGTAACTCAAAGATTCAAATTATAGATATTAATAATTTCTATTCACCATGGGCTTTCCTTTATGGCCTCAAGAGCATGGGGTAGATGTTAACATCATAGAACTTTTATTTCCCCACCAGGGGAGATTTGGATGGAGTAAAGAGTTTGCCAAAATGAGACTGTACAAACTGTTTTATTATTGAGTTTTGTATAGAATTTATTCTTACCTAACATACCAACAGAAGATGTTACAGGCCAATGTATTCCCACAACACCTATTCCAGGAGACAGTTTGTTCCAAAATAAGTCATTTTTCTCTCTTCTATTGTAAACATTAAACGGAATGTTGAATTCATTGCTGGCAATTGTGGGTGTTGCGTAAAAGGCTTGTTTCCTTCACTCCATCTGATTTATTTCAGCTCATCTTCATGGCAGATTGGACGCTGCCTGTTCTTACAAAAAGGCAGACGACAGCAGTGTCGGTGCCTAATGTCCTGCATGTGGAACCAGCTGTCAGTCTTCACTCGCGTTATCAAATTATTAGAGTAAATTTTGCCGTCCCAGATGAATTCCTCACTCAGCATCGTGGTTTGATATCTCATGTGCAATGAAACATTAATACAAATGTTTAATATCAGATAGTATTGCTTGGAGTAATTTCCGCTTTGAACCAGTAGTGTAAAAGATGCTGACATCCACTAAAATCCAAAATTGGGGGAAATAAAAAAAAAATAATAAAGAGGATAAAGAGGAGGGGTTTTCCATGGCATCCCTGCTTTTCACAGAGTAAAGAACAAGCACTTGTGCTTAGTATTCTCTCAGTGTCGAAATGTATGAGTGCTCAGAAAATGAAATTTAATGATGACAGTGTTGGATCAGCAAAAAAAAAAAACAGTGGAGGCTTCAATATTTCTAGCTGATATGATAAATGGGTATGAGATTCGCTAATCTACTCCCCCAGAAAGGGAAATGAGAGATTGCTATCCTTTTTTTTTCCACCGCTTCCTCTGAAACATTTTAGATTTTAAAGTGACTTTAAAATGAAATGATGAAAGTGTTAGAATGAGAAAGTATCATCATATACTTTATTTGAACTTCCGTTTGTGTGTATTTTACGTGTGCCATCTGTGTGTGCGTGTTTGTGGGTAATGTTATAAGTCTGAAATATTAGTTTTTGAGTCTGAAATTGAGATCAAAGCTGGGATGATAGATGAGATTTGAGATGACAGCTGAAATAAACTGCCAACCCTCTCTCTCTCTCTATCTCTCTCTGCCTCTGTATGTGTTTGTGTGTGTGTATGTGTGTGGTGTGTGTAATTAGGTGCTACCTTTGACGTGGCCATGCGCTTCCTGTCTGAGTGCCCATGGAAGAGGCTCCAGGAGCTGAGAGCTTTGATCCCAAACGTCCCTTTCCAGATGCTACTGAGAGGGGCCAACGCTGTGGGCTACACCAACTACCCTGACAACGCTGTTTTTAAGTGAGCCACTCATATACACACACACACCACATTTTATCCTTCAATCAAATGGTTAAGAGCTAACAGGCAATAACACCCACAATCTTACTTCTTTTGTATTTCTGTCCAAATACACACATTGTCCTAAAACTTTGCTGAAAACATTTTTATTGTTTAAAAACATTAGTTTCAATAAGATTTTCTTTAAACCAGCTCCTCCTTCTTCATTATTTGTCACTCTCATATTATTTATGAAATATCCCCTGACTGGTTTGTTTCCATGGGAACAACATGGGTGACCATCAACTCCATACATAATGTTGTATCTGTCTGTAAGCGTACACAGGTACTTAACATGATTGAAATTTCTGTCAAACCTTGAATAAGTACACCAGCACTAGACAAAACCAATCGAAAGGTAAATTACACCAAACAAAACACCACTGTAAAAACAATGCAACACAGGATGCAAGATTTTCTATAGACCAAAAAAAGAGGTAAGCTGAAGCAACAATTTATCACACCTACTCTTCTTACAAGACACAACCTACTTGACATCAGAAGTAACAGAAAGCCAAATGTTAAAATGTGTCTTTAACCATACTCTTATCTAAATGCTTTATCAATCATATTTTTTATATTTGCTCATCAACAAAGTTTGTAAATTTGAAAAGTGAACATATTTTCGGTTCCTCTCCTCGCTGTTGCCTGAAGGTTGAGTTGGCTTTTTAATGAGGAGATTTTAGTTTTGGCAGAATTTCTGTAAGAAGCCTGGTCACTAAGATAAAGTATCCGTTATCCTTCATGTTGGATTATGTAAACTGGGTCTGTTGTGTGTGTGTGTGTGTGTGTGTGTGTGTGTGTGTGTGTGTGTGTGTGTGTGTATGCGCGCACCTCATGATACATGATCATAACAGCTGTTATGTTGGACACCATGTGGCGCAGGACACTTAAATCAATCATTCCATGTATTCACCCCTAAACATACACTTTCCTCAGAGGTCATATTATCTTTTGTTTAAACAACTTTCAGAGAATTTATTTTTATCTTGACTTTTTTTTCCATTTAGTTATTCATATAAGATAGATAAAATTACAGTATTGGATCTACATACATAGAATCCAAAAAACAGTTTCTCAATCATTAATTCACCCCTGTAAATTAAATACAGTTATTATTGTTTTGTTTTTTTGTCCTCACCTTATCTTACAGAAGCACATGCTATTGTTTTGTTTTTGCATTTTGAGCAGTTTTTGGAAATCTGGATAACTTAACAAACAGAAGGTCCATATTACTGACTGTTTCCAAAGCTTTCAACCACATCTTATGAGAATCCTCAGCAGATGGAGTTTCTCACTTTAGAACAAGAGTTGCTTTAAGCTCCACTTTTAATCACTTTTAAGAGAGTTTATTTTCTATCCTCCCACTCTCTCCTACATTGTATAAACCATACTCCATATGTAACATGAAGCCTTTAGACACAGCTGCTTTCTCTCTAAATATATCCAAATGGATATACTGTGTGCTATCCTCAAACCGCACAACTGGCATGCACATTTAATCAGGTCAATTTGGTTGATGTGTTCCTTTTGCCTCCTACCATGCTCAGTGAGTTACATACATTTCACAGACATACCGTTGATTCAGATACCCACCAATAATGCATTTAGAGCCATAAATACTCCTGTGCCTACACACATGCATACACATGCCTCTAACACTTTTCCAAATGGATTCACAAGCTACTGCTATGATGTGGATGACTCATGTATACTCAAGCACACACACCGGCAGTCAGTTCCACACACAAACACCCATATACACTGTAATTCCCCTCACCTGAATTAAATGAGTCGTAGCTTTATGAGTAATGCAGCTGTCCCCTTCTCCCTCCTTCTCATTGAATCACCCACACACACACACACACACAGACCTCCCCTATCCTCCTTGTTTTTATTTTTTGTGTTTTTTTTTTTTTTTTGCTCCCCCTCTCCTCCCCCCTTTCCTATCATGTTGTCATTATTTATCCCTATTCTTATAACTCCTTGTTTTACGCCTCCATTCATCTCTTTGCATTACACACTCCTTTCCCTCTTTTTAACTCTCCCTTTCTATCCCGACTGCTCTTCACCCCCCCCCCCACCCCCATTCTGCATCCCATAGGGGGAATGCCATCAAAAATTTGCACAATTGTGATTAATGGCTTTGATCTGTTTGCACGGCTCTCTCTCTCTCCATCCTCCCTTCACTCTGTCACTCTCTTGCCCTCAACATCTTTAGCGTGGCGGCCCGCATCCGAGTGGCCTAAGCATCTTCATTAACTAAATCAAATCAAAGTGTAATTTCATTTCATTTAATCCATTTAAAGTGCATTTCACAGGGTCACAGGACAGTACACTCCGCAGCAAGAGTGGTGTAAGATCTTAAAATATCTAAAACGCCTGAGGGATTAAAAGGTTCATACGATTGTTAACTAGATCTTCTCTCAATTGAAGGCCAGAAATTTTTTGTGAGAAAAACTTCTGATTCACATGATGGTCACACACATAACGATCACTTCAGCTCTGACTCAGATATGCAGGACAGTACAGTGTGTTTGATTTGGTGCCAAACAGCGTCCACTAGATAGCACTTGTATGCATTGTAGTGCTAAATAAACACCGGACACACAGACGTTGGACTGGTAATCCTCTCGCGGCAAAGCATTAAGTGTTTGTTTATTTGCCAAAACGAAAGCTCTCAGTGCGTATACATATTGCATTCACAGCAACATAACTTCAGTAAGCACTCACCCTGGTTATGAAAAACCTGATGAAGATACGAGGCTATAATAAGAGGGATTTACCACTAGCAGCTTGGATAATGAGGCGGGCATGCGTTTCTCTCAGGTTATTGTGGGTTCCTGCAGGCTGTGTAAGCTCACATTTCATGGAAATAGTGAGAAAATGTTATTAACGCAGGTACAGCAATATTTATGAGTGGTGATATGGATATAAACAGCTTATCCCAATGCAGATGTGCGCTATTATCTGAGGACAGACTCATAAGTGAGAGAGATTGTGTGATATTCTTTGAGTGTACAGTAAGTCTTGACCGCCTCGCTAAGCTATTTCTGCGTCTCATATCGATGTTATTACTGTATGAGTTGTTGGCTAACATCATGCCCCGGACACCCCTTCCTCCAGGTTCTGCGAGGTGGCCAAGGAGAACGGCATGGACATCTTCCGTGTGTTCGATTCCCTGAACTACCTGCCAAACATGCTGCTGGGGATGGAGGCTGCTGGAGCCGCAGGTGGCGTAGTGGAGGCTGCCATCTCGTACACTGGCGACGTGTCTGACCCAATGAGGCAGAAGTACTCCCTAGAGTACTACGTGAAACTGGCAGACGAGCTTGTCAAAGCTGGGACACACATCCTGTGTATCAAGGTGAAAATAAAACAAGAATCTAGTGTTTTAAGTGATTGCCTTGAGAGCTATTGGTGGCTTCTTAAGAGTTCTACAAAAAGCCTTTTTTTTTTCTTTCCTGTGATAGTCTAAAGACTGTTTGGAAGTCCCTGCCAATCTGCCACCAAAATAACATAAAAACAGCTATGATAGAACTCCTTTGGCATGTAAGGTATTTAAATTGACTAATGGAATTCCTGGTTATTATTTAGTAATGTAGGCAAACGTGCAAAGTGCGCGATTTTATTCACTTTTTTTATGCTGTGTTAAATATGTAATCTGGCCACCTATACATCAACAACTGCCACTACTACTCACTCTACTTCTGTCGCTGCTGTCAGGTTTGGTTCTACTACTACTGAAATTCAGTTACATACATACATAGATAAAATCTTAGTTTTTCAAGAACCAACTTCACCATTGTATCACGGTGAAGTGAAACATTTTTACACACAGAAAACAAACATGCTTTTTTGATTAGGATTTTGATGAATAGAAAACACTCGCATGTTAACTGTTGAACACAGTTGAGTTTTTTTCTATTGCCTCCTATTGAAATAACTTGTATACTTGAGCTGTTTATCTAAATGAATAGACTGATAATGCTCACATTAAATTAATTTCTTCATTCAAGCATGACAGAATATTTTCAAACGTGAAAATGATAAACTCCCGGTCTACGGCAGTGTGAACCATAACGCGCAGCAGTGGCAATCTCATAAAAGGCTTGCACAGCTAATGAGGTTAACTTTTAAAAGAGGAAATTAGCATGCATTATAACTTCAAGGAGTGCAATGATCATCAAAGGGTAGCGCAACTAAACATCTAAGCTCTGTCTGGGATTTTCTGTTAATATCAGTTAGGATTTATACATTCATTTTATACAAGATTTATACATAAATCATCTTTGCAAGATTGTGAAACCCTCAACTTTAGTCTGTGTTGTGTTGTTCTAATTAATAATTTCCAAGTACATGCTTAATCATTTTCTTGAGTTCCACAAAAATGGGATTTTTTTCAGCAAAAAAAGAATTGTTTCATGGCTTTTTGAACCAGATTAATTCAAACTAGCTTTCTCACAAAGATGTCGTTGGGTCTTCAATTAACAGAATCAAATTCCTAAAAGATGAACACTCGCTTCGACCCAACATCCTAGGTGGCAGTTTTAACTTTAGATTCATTAATCAAAGTAAGACACATTGATTATTTGGACAATTTCAGTCATCAATACCCCTTATTTTCCAGTTCTGATCACTTGAAGGATTTCACTATTTCTCTGTGTTCTTTCTGCTTCCATTGTTTTGTCTGTTTTTACTTGTTTGAATACACCAAATTATCAGCAGTTTGTGGTGTGTTCCAGCTTTCATGAGTAGCCTCAGGGCCAGTGCTGTGTGCACATTCTTTCACTAATGAGGACTAAGACAGGTGGCTGAAATTAATCTTGTTTAAGTTAGTCCAGGACTCCATATGCAAAATTTAGATGTGTTGTAGAAAGCCACTTAAATCACATGCAGATTAAAGTCTATTTGTGTTTCAGTTTATTTGAGTCCAGGAGTCCAAAGAGTGTTTGAAATGTATGTGTGGATCTAAAATAATCTATAAGAGAACATACATGTTAATGTAGGATGAGAGATATTAAGCTTAATGGAGTCACTAGCAGATATTTCTCCAATATATTGTGTCAAAAGTCACAGAAATGTTTCATGTCATTCTTCACCCCTTTTGCTACTCCCTCATGTGTTCTCCTCTCTTTCCCCGCCCTTTCTCAACAGGATATGGCCGGCTTGCTGAAGCCAGAAGCCAGCAAGCTTCTGATTGGTGCTCTGAGAGATCGTTTCCCAGATGTACCCATCCATGTGCATACTCACGACACAGCTGGAGCTGGTGTGGCCGCCATGCTGGCCTGTGCTGAAGCTGGAGCTGACGTAGTTGATGTGGCTGTGAGTATTCATCTTAACTGTACAAATCCCTCGCGTTAGTAAAGGTCAAGGTTGTTTTGGATGATTCTCACTTTTCATTATATATATCTAAAACATGATTAAAATGCCTCTGAGAGGTTTTAAATTCTTAATCAATATAAAACAATCTAATGTTCTCATTTCAACTCATGAAGGTTATGGAAAGTGAGAACTTCCTTTAACTTTAATTCAAAATTTACATCAGGGTCACGATACTGTAGGAAGCCTGCCATGTAATTTGAACTAAAATAGCCATTTGGAGGGCTAGGTCCACACACCAGCTACCCTAACAACATTCATTTTCTAGCAGCTTCTGCAGTTTGCATTGTGAAATGTCACTGAAACAATTGTTGAAGCCAGTAACATTTCCCTTACTGTGTTCACTGACGCATGCTGCCAGCATGGGCAGTTTCATTAAAACAATTGGCCGCTGTTTGCAGTGTTGGGCCATTCTGCTGTTCAGTTACTTGTAACACTGTATGAAACAAACAACCAACTGTCCACCATGGATCAGACGCACCTACTGAAAACATTTCTTTGTATCGATTCTTCTGGTTTATGTAGTTAAGCCGTGTCTTTTCACTCGAAGGAATAAAACATTCATGCACAGTAATGAACAAGATGAAGCGCGCTCAAAAAAACACTTGACAGGGCAGAGAAGACGGCCAAGCTAAAATTCCTCTACTTTTTGATGGGAAGATGCTTTTTTGTGCTTTCATTATATGATGATATATATTTGCACAGATCTTTCAGAAATATACCCATATGATTTGCAGACTAATGCACTGCACCTTTTACTCCATGTATATAAAGTCTATTCACTAAGGCGTGGACCCACATAATGCACTTTTACAATGATTAAGGCTTTTAGTCAAACAGTATCTATATTGATTGTCTCTCTCTAGGTCGACTCTATGGCTGGCATGACTTCTCAGCCCAGCATGGGAGCCATCGTGGCCTGCGCCAAGGGGACCAAGCTCGACACCGGTGAGTGGGCATCCGAACATTACTAATTCTGAGAGTCTACTACTTTACGCGAGGGAAAAATCTATCAACAAATCAATAAATGACAGCGCATCACTAATTATGGCCCTAAGTCTGAAAGACTGACGCATTCAGCTCAGTGATAACGTACACAGCCACTTATGAGGGTTAGATGGAAAACAAAGAGACAGACAAAAGAAAGGGACCAGCAGAATCAATAAAAAATGATGCTCTGTGAAACAAAACATTCTTCATCCATGAAATGATGAACAGTTCCAATAGTTATGAGTGGCAGATGAGAAGTATCAGCACATTAGAGGCTTATATACCCATCTGCTTGTACATAAACCTATTGGTTGTAGAACTGAATAAGGTGGTTGTGTTTTCATCACAGCATGCTAAAAACTACAGCTACTACTCTGACCAAATGAGCAACTCTTTCTGTAGGGTTTAGGGGTTAAAGGCTTCTCCTAAGGCAACCTTGAAATAGTTGTTGGCTTCTCATTTACTTACTTTACTACTCAACCCACATTCTGTGTATTTGTATTGGAGACGTTTCAGTCACAAGCCTGCCTCTCTACACTCTGGACCACCACTGCTTTACTATGTCTTCACAGGAGGTCGAACAATAAGTGCAGGGATGAATTTATAATGTGTGAATTCCCCTTTGGGTTTTTGTTGTCCACTTTGTTCTGCTCAATGTAATTTTCATGGGCTGTGAAAAAGCTGTAGCCCCTTCCTTCTCTGATAACTGACTGGGCTCAGTGACCTCTGCCTCCCACAGTGATGGATGCAGTGTGGCATATATATTAAAGCAGCCAGATATAAAACTACTGTTAAAATTGAAGGAACATGAAACAGGCTAAAAGAATTAAAACTGATGTGGAGTTTGCTGCTTAGTTATGCAGACTAATGCTATTGGGAAAACTGACTCAGCTCTACTAACTAGATCTGATAGCTCATTTCCATTACTTAGAACCACGAAAAGCCCTGTTAATTATGTTTACGCTATTCACACTGCACAGGTCATGTACTGTCTGCTGCTGTAGTGCAGTATACTATCAACATAAGTAGCTTGTTACTGTGTGGTAGCTTTTAATGGACAACTTTTTGTCTTCTGTTCTGATGATTTGGGTACAGATACTTTACTGTTTACCATCTATGCATTTAAGAGACCATAAATGAGACCATGTGATCTTAAGATAAAACCCTCACTAATGCACGTCAATAAGTTTGATATGCCATAGTATTATGATTAGCCCTGATGCTAAGAATGCACAGAGAAGAGTGCATGTTTATTGAGACATTCTCATAGATGCAGTGTACATAATAATAATAATAATAATAATAATAATAATAATAATAATAATAATAATAATTAATATACAATAATCCTTGTCCAGCCGTGTCAAACCTCTGTGGAATTGAGCATGCTTTTGTTTGGCTGTGTTACCAAGCTTGCATGTGGTACTGTTTGTAAAATCATGAAGGCTTCCTGCAAATTGTCCTAGTTTACATACATCTCACAGTGCATGCTTTACTTTAAACATCATTTGTGTATCTTGGAGGAACCATAAAACACTTTAACTGTTTAAATAGTAACTTAATACCAGCTTGAGAAACGGTGTTTGACTGTGCTGTCAAGCTCTGGTAAGAGGTGTAGTCAGAGGGTTTTTTGCATTCGATAGTGATGTCATAGTGTACTGACTCTCCCTGGTGTACATTTATACATTTCATCAGCAAAGTGAGAACTTAAACCATTGTTCAGCAAAAACAAGAATTTCAGCTGGTGTTTAGTTGCTCTTTAACAATATAGGCTAATAATAATAATAATAAAAAGCAATGCTCCTTGTGAACAAGCTTCTTTGCTGGACTTGTGTCTGTAGCAATATTTAACAGTCAGTCAGGGAGAACTCCGTCATAGAAGAGGAAGCTATTTCTGTAATAGTCCATAAAGCAACACAACAACAGAGCCATTAAGACATGCTGTAGTGGTGATGTGTGACTTGTGCTTTGAAGGGAAAACCTCTTGCTTCACTGCTACTCTTTACATCTGCACACTTAACCAACAGCTGAATGCAACAGGTTCACATCCATTCTGTGGAACTGGTAAATATTGTTCTGGGCAAGGTAGGAAACATGACATATTACTGCATCAGAGTATCAGAGTGAGAGAAACTCTCCCATCCAGTTAAGTGACAGAATATCAATTTGTGAGCATACAGTACCCAGAAAAAAAGGAGAGGGAGAGAGAAAGACAAGGTCGTTACTCAAGAGCGAGAGGTTTTCAAGTCTGTCAGTTTATTCATGGAATTTCAATTTGCTTCACTTGGGACTGAGAGTCGGTTGCAGGATGTCTCCCATACACACTCACACACATGTGTGTGCATACTTAGATTCTATCCTGATGTGACCCCGGTACATGCATTATGAATACACATGCAGACAAACTCCTCCTCACTTCCACATTCTTTTATACCTGTCACCTTGTGCTCATCTTTTCATGTCTTCCTGTCTATATGCTTTTCCCCCCTTCCATCTCCGTTCGCCCATCTCACTACATTTGTAATCAAGCAGAGCACTGCCTTGGATACTTCTTTCTCTTCATGATTTTAGTCTGTTTACTGCTTTCCTTCCCTCCCTCCCTCCCTCCCTTCTTTCTCCCCTCTCTCTTACAAAGCAGTAGTCAGTGCTGTGCTGTGAGCTTTGCCTCCTCTATCTCCCTCCCTTTCTATGCTCTCATGCCTTTTCCTATCACCCACGCTTCTTTTGCATTGTCTCTATATACTCTTCCTCCTTCCCTCCCTCTCACTCAGTGATAAAGTAATTAACAGAACTTCACATACCAGTTTCACCTCCTCAAACTCCCTCTCTCTTTGCTCTTTCTCTTCCAATCCCTCAGTATCTCCCTCAGTCTCTCTTTGTCCTGAAGACATGGCAAAAGCAGAGGTCACTGGTTAATTCATCTGTCTTTAAACTGTCTCTGTATTTATTCAGTCAGCCACACTGTGCACACACACCCATACATTTTGGCTTTAAAACAGGTCATACATATTCACAAACACTTGTGCAGCTTAATGGTGAGACACATTAAGGTGACCTTTGTGTTTCTCTGACACAGCATTTAAAGCATGTTTCATGCATGGATTTAATGACAGTGCAGCCACTCAAGATGTAGCAGACATCAAACACATCATGTGGAATATTCACACACACAAAGCATAGATATTACTATTACTACTATAACTGTTTGTAGATACTCAAACCAGACAGACTCTCACAGCCACTGAACCAGACAGGGAGGCAGGTGAACCCACATTTAGCTCCCTGTCTTCATCTGAGTTCAGTTTTCCCTCCTTTTCTCCCTGAATCTTCTTGCGTCTCATCTGTCTTCATCCATGCGTCTTGGTTGGCCCTCATTATCTCATTTAGCACAAACTGTGGTTGTGTGGCTGTCTCAGGTGTAAAGAAGGTATACAACTTTACAACCATAAATATGTGCCTGTGTCTGTTTGTCTCCTGCAACAGTGAGTTTGCACTGCTTCTGAGTTGTATATTGATGGCACCTTGTCACTAGAAAACAGTGTAAAAATATGCTGTGAAAAATATGTTAGGTGATCACATTGAGTAGATACAACACAGTACTGGTGTGGCCAGCTTTGCTGTTGGTTGAGGAAGATGCTTAGTGATGGCAGCACTCCTCGCCATGGTGCTTTTCTAATCATTTAAATTAGTTGATTCAGCTTTCACAAGACCTTCCTGCTCTCATAGGTGTGCTGTTTGGCTAATTAGACTTCTCCTTGGGAAAGCGGAGGCATGTGGAAATGTTGAAATATCTCCAGCACAGCTACAACATAGGTGAATGGTTTTAGTGAAATGCACAGTCAGTCAGAGAACTACAACATGCCCTCATTTAAAGCATTTTCATTTTAGACCAATATTTAACAATCCATCACCTAGCCTAACCTACCTCGGTGCAAGAGAGCAGACTGCAGTGTATCCATATTTTTGTATCAGGGCAGAGCTCTTTTGTGTTTTCAGCTGGAAGAACTCAGTTACTTCTCTCTGTTTTGTTCACTAACTGAAGCCATGAGTGCATGATATGTGCATATGAGATGTTCAGCTGGAGGTGGGTGGAGTTTCATCTGACCTGACATTTGAATCAACAGAGCCGTCACATTGAACCTGCCGTCACTTCCCCTTGTAAATGGAGGTTGTAATTTCACAATAGAAGCATAAATGAAAGCTACAAAAATGGTGTTCTCAAACAGAGAAGGAAATGGACCTAATTACTGGCTGGCTTGGCAGGCAGCTGAATTTGAGAAGCAACAACATGCACATTAATTTCACATTAATTTCACAGTAGCTCCATTTCCCTGCCAAGATCACAGTGGAAACACACAAACACTTTTTGGAGTACGTACTCGCTTTGAATAATAAAAAAAAATCAAGCCTGTCACTTAGTTGTTGTGGATGTATCAAGCTAAGTTTGTCTCATTAACATGGCTGATTTTTGTCATCATTAGCCAAAAGCTCAATGTACTGCCATGTCTGTCACGGCATTAAAGCAGATTCTTCCTTTCAAGGTAATCAGCTTTAGCACACCTTAACTGGCTGCAGCAGAATGTCATGAATATGAGCAACAGATGTTTTTTTTTTTTTTTTTTTTTTAAAGGATCACAAAATATCACAGGGATTTAATGAGCGGCTCTGATGTAGCAAAGACAAGATGAAAATGCAGTGAATTCAAGTTAACTTAAAGGCTAATGGTACACCTTACCTACATTGTTTTTCAGCCCTTTAAACCATTTTAGGTCGAACATTTTCTTGACTTAATGCGATTTTTAAGAGCTATCCAAAAGTGGGCTTCTGGCAGATGATACACAGTAGAAATGTCTTGGCTGACATTTTGGTTTGCTGACTCTTTGGAGAGTGAGGACCCTGGTATAGTAAATCATAAAAACCAGCACACTATGCTGTGGTTGGAGACACATCCACCTACCTGATGGGTTGGCAGACATTTCGTATGCTTAAAAAAAACATCAAACATCAAACTCAACAGCATAAGCCCAGTGCTGTCACAATTTACTAGCTGGCAGAAGTTTTGAGATGACTAATTCAGATAAATGGCAGGTTGCCACACAAGCTTTCACAATAATTCCACTATATTTATAGTAAATATCACACCAATTCCATCTCCCTTTCAGGAGGGATGGCAAAAATGATCACAAAGTGACCGATTTTGCCTTTAAATATGAATTGGCAATTAGTCATTGCTATATTCATATTCATCTTGGTCAATGCAGCATATGATTCTAATAAACCCAGTTCAACCCATTATTAAGTCAACTTAATTATAAAGCTTTTATTTCTCCCTATGTTCCACACTGAAAACACAAACATACAGTATTATCAGTGTTTTTGCATATGTTGTTTCCGCCTTCAACAGCATTGCCATAAGATGAATGGTATCAGTGTTGTCAAGTCTCATTAAAAGAAAAAAGTCCATGGTGACCGTCTCTCTGATGTCATTCTGCTCTGCTCTGTCGCAGGCATTGCTCTGGAGAAGGTGTTTGACTACAGTGAATATTGGGAAGTAGCCAGAGGCCTGTATGCTCCATTTGACTGCACCGCCACAATGAAATCTGGCAACGCTGATGTCTATGAGAACGAAATACCAGGAGGACAGTACACCAACCTTCACTTCCAGGTACAGTGAGCTATTCTGGTCCATTTTTATTGTGTTTTTTTTTGGTTAGTGATTTGATTCTGAAGCTAAATAATTTTAAATGCATTAGGATGGAGTATTGGAGGTGGTTGGTGCATCTCAGAAGATGTAAACATGGGATTAGCTCAATGTAACATTACGTTTATATTTACTGTTGTTACGTACAATTCCAACTCAATGCACCTATAAAGTGTTTTTGCATTTGTTTGACAGCTTAAGGAGTGATGGCACAGAAAATATCATATTCAAATTTTTCAGAGGTGTACAGTCTTAGTTTTAAAAACATCAATCTACTTATTTTCTCTTACTTCTGATAATGATTATTAATTCTGATGAATTATTGTCTTTACAACAATACATTTTCTTTTGTTAGTGTGCTCAAAGACACTGAAGAAACTGAATGAAAATGTTGCTTGAACAACTTATTTTCTGTGGGGTTTTTTTATGCTGTATGGCACATTAAGTATGAACAAGAATCAACAGTGCGCTGCACACAGTTACTTTCTGAAAACTGTCACAGACTATTTGAAAGAGACTGAATCTACAGTACTTTGCAAAAATATGTGGGTGCACAACCCAAAGCCATGTTGTGACCTGTTTATATCAATAAGTATTAAAGTAATGCACTACGGAGCAAATTACAGTTTTCAGTGGATGTCATACTAGCCCATTTGGCCTTTGCTACATGAGCATCTTCACCATAAATTTAAGAGCTGTGTGTGTCGCTGCACAAGTTATAGCTTTAAGACACAGGTTGACAACAAATTGCCCAGAATGCCTTGACTTTTCCTTAAACAGGAAGTAACAAAAATGTAATTTCACTCTACTAATTCACACTGTTACTTGTTTCACTGTGGTTGATTGCAGGCTCATAGTATGGGACTGGGAAATAAATTCAAGGAGGTGAAGAAGGCCTACACTGAAGCCAACAAACTACTAGGGGACCTCATTAAGGTGAGACATTAACATAAAACATCACAAATCCCACTTAATTATCATGAGTGTAGCATGTAGAATTTGCACACATTTCTACATTTAATTTATCTACAGTTATTCATGCCAGACTTGGCAGGAAAGAATATATTCAAAAAATGGTATTATTATCCTATCACACAGAACAGCTTGAATCAGTGATGGTAAAATAAACAATTATGAATGTTACACAATTGCATGCAAAAAGTCAGGCACATAGTGTATTTCAAACTTTCTCACTTTCTCAATACATTGTGTCTAAGACAAGTTAAAAAAAAAGATGTGCAGAAAATACAAGTATAACTTTGGCATGTATTTGATATTTCTGCTTTGGCACCTGTCACACTGGTTGCTTCTGCCAAGCTGCCCCTCTTTCTTTGCATGGCTGAGTCAAACAATCCCAGATTAAGTGTGGTACATCCAGCGTTCTGTGCTGTCTGGATTCATTTTAAGCCTCAGTCTGTTTGACCTTCCCTGGCTTCCTTAAGTAACTGGAAGGCAAAGTAAGTTTTTTTCCCATTTCTTTAACTAGATATTTTTACCCTAACCTGACAAGCACTAAATATTTTATTTTTGTCCTCATACCAAGTAGTTTTAACTGAGCTTCATCTTTTATTTCAGCAGGACAGTCTCATTCAGCACTGATACTGAGTTCTGTTATTTGTATCACCTACTTGTTATGTTAATTTGGGTAGAAACTCCAGTAAACTAGTTTTGTTTTGACTTCCTGAAGGAGGACATTAATCGCAGTCATGGAGAGGGTGCTCTATTACCAATTCTGCAGTCAACAATTTCATTCTCAGCCTAAATTCACCTCTTGCCTGCCTTTTTTGTTTTTCATTATCTTTCATTAATTCTTTTGGTTTTCTCCCTTCATTATTTACCATCACATCTTAGTAATAGATTCATCCCTCTTTTGTCCTGTTCACACTGGCGCTGTAATTATTTTGTTCTCTCTTTTGCATTCTTTCTTTATCAAACCACCCTCTCACTTTTCTTTTTCACCTTTCTTTTTCTCATTCTGTCACTGCTTTACACACATTTATTAGCCAGCCATCTTTTCTTATTTTTCCTCTCTTTCTCGTCAAAGACATGCTTTTGTGGATTCCCTATTACTCTACCTCCTCTCTCTCTCTCTCTCTCTCTCTCTCTCTCTCTCTCTCTCTCTCTCTGTCTTTCTTTTTTTTTTATTGCCTTTCTGTCTCTCTCTCAATTTTCCTTCTCGGGTCCCCTCTCCCTAATTTTCTTTCCTCCTCTGTTTTCCTCATCAATTCCCCCCGACCTCCTCTACCCTCTCCCCATGCTCTCTATCAATTCAATTAAGACTTGGCAGGCTTCACTGCACAAGCCAATGTTGGCTTAATGTGCCTATGGGTCCTGCTATGCTCTCTGTTGTATCCTGTTAGCTTGACAATGGTTGCGTCTCTCACACTGTTGGCTTGTCGATAAGGGAGGAGGAGTGTGCTTGTCAGATGTAGATATAAAGTAGACACACTGCACTGTCAGTAAGGAGAGCAACCAAGGTATATACATTGACTGTGATCTCCCACACTCGCATTCACACACACACACACACATACACACACACGCACACACACACAGCACTGCAAAGCCATATCTCTGATACTCAGAGCTGTGGGTGAAGGATTGTGCTTGTCAGTGGACTTAATTTCAGACAACTTTACACCAAATGCATAAAATATTAGGAATATTTACAGGACTGTTTTTGTTGAGTACACTGCACCTCCTCACTATCAAAAAGACAAACAACTCTCATTATGTCAGATTTTTTAAAAAGTTGTAACCTTTAATCATCAAATCATTTGCATGCAAGTGATTTGCATCTAAGTGATTGCTCACTTTCACAAGCTTATTAATTCTTGTTTGTTTTTTAGCAACGGGTGTCCTGAATTATTAATATTTTATAAAATGCTCATAAACCTAACTGTTTGTAGCTTAATATTAATTCCAGATGTGCAGTCGAGTATAATCATTACATTGCTCGCTGAGCGCACAGTGCAAATTCACAAAATCTGCCTAAATCCATGGACTTGATTTACAATTATAAAGGACCTCTGCTCAGCAAAATGAAGGGGTATAAAATATCCTCAGCGTTAATACTGTTTTGAATAGTCTGTTGAGAAAGTTGGAGGTCAGATCAAATGTCTGTACTGTACAGCAGCTGGGGAGTATGATCAGTGGCAGTAGATATTTCCCACCATGCTTACAGTAAGACCATTGAGACATAAAGCCGTGTACAACTAGCAGAATGTGGGATGAAGAGGTAAATGGCATATATTTAACAGATGTGAAAGGTTATTTGTTCTTAGCCAAAAATGTAAAACGCTATTGAAAGAGAACTACTTACTGAGAGCATTTATTGATCTGAGAGACAGCAGTTTGGGCAGTAAGTCAAGCACAGGTTAGGATCTACTGTATGTGTGAAGAGGTCCTTTCAATTTATGTGATTCACAAAGGAGAAATGGACTGAGGTGCAGAACAGACGAGAAGGGGTGTGGGTATTATCAGGATGCTGTCTTCGATTGAAGTACACTGTATATCGACTCAGTATCTCTAAAATAGAGAGAGCCTGACTTCTTTTCAAAGTGGCCTCTTAAGGCTGAGATGATTGTAGTTCTACACAGCCTCTTTGTTTTGTGAGGTATTTTAAATTTTAAATTGAAGCTTTTCTTCAAAGTAGATGTGGATCACATCTTCCACTGGCCTGCCTGAAATGTTTTTCAGCCTTTATATGATTGAATATTGTCTAACTTACTCTCATCTTGAATATTTTATAGTGTTATTAGTGTTAGGCTGCATTTTTTACCCCATCAGTGATCTCTGGTTAAAATGGATGAGTGTGGTGAATGTACACTGGAAGAGGGGAATGCTAAATTGAAAGGAAAAAAAAAAAAGTGTGTTTCTGTTGAAGAAGCCTTGAAAATGGAGACAGAACAACTGATACAGCTGAGTGGTGAGCAACTGGAGAACAGCCAGGGAGAGGATGTTTTTGCCTCTTCACAGAGATGTTCTGTAACATGTCATCATGTATTATGCACTCCTTGGCTGATGCACACCTGCCAGTCGCTTTTCTCCTCATCATCCTCCTGGTCACGTAGTGGTGCCCTTGCTCAGCCCACAGTGTTGTAACATCAGTTGAATAGTATGACGTCAAAGCTGACAAACCCCCTTTGTCAGAAGATGATAGTAATAAGTCATCACTACTATTTCTAAAGCTACTCATTATTTTTGCTTGAGGGAATATTTGCTGAAGCAACAGAAAAAATCATGTAAAATATACATGAACAGATCCTACAGGCACTGTTTTGATAATGTAATCGCTGACAATTGTAAGGACGCAGTAGTGTGTGTGTGTGTTTCATTTTTAAGTACACAAGTCCACAATATCGCATATATTACAGTAAAGTGGGTTTGATTAATTGGCTAATACATTATCAGTTATTGTACAGATTTGTTTTTTTAAACTGATCGATCGTTAGCAGAGGTGGACGAAGCACACAGCTCCATTACTGGAGTCAAAGTATAGATATTCCGCATGGCAGTGTGTGTGTGGTGTGGTGTGTGTTCATGCATGTGTCAACAGGAATTGCTGTAGATGCAGTTTCCACAGGAAAAAAACAAAAAAAACTATCAACTTAGTTCCACACCTCTTTCTTCTAACAGCCATCGTTGGGCCACTGTTCAAAAATGCAGTGAGCACAACATGACTGACAGTGTAGGAGTTGGCTCTGATTGGTTTTTCTCCAATTCTGTGTAGTGTAAAAGTACAATATTTGTCTTTTAAGTGTAAAAAATCCATCACAACTACACAAAGCCCATGATGACATCTTTAAAGGAATATATAAAGGAAATATGATCTCTCTCAGCAGAGACTCTAGAAAGTAACTGTTGTCGGCTCTCATAACCTCCTTTGAAAGCACAATTTGTCACACTGTTTTTTGAACAGATTAAACAAACAAGATATAACATGTTTATGTGCTTAGATGTCCTTGTAGGAGGATGTTGTTACCCTTGGACAGAGCCAGGCTAAGCTAAGTTAACTGTCTGTTGGCTGTAGCTTTATCTTTACTGTTCAGACATGCGAATGGTATCAATCTGCTCATCTAAATCTTGGTAAGAAAATGATTTTGCATATTCCCTCAGTATGTTACACTATTCACTTACATGTCTTCTTTAGTCTGACCAACAATCAAAAATCCAAACATTCAGTTTGACTTCACAGAAGACTAAGAAAACCAGAAAATATTCACATTTGAGAGGCTGGAAACGTACTCAGTTAATCCATTATTGGTCTCAGCTCTGTTTAATCACAATGTAACAGTCTAATCTTGAAGAGCCAGAGTAGTTTATTTACTCAAAGTCCTGAAACTGTCACTGACTAGCACACAGCCAGAACTAAAGTTTTCTGACTCTCCAATGCCTCCTTCCGCTCCTCCTTTGCTTTTAACATACATTCCTATTCCTGTCTCCTTCCCCTTTTCTTTCTCGCTCAGCTACATCTGTCACAACATGAGCTTGTCAATATAAGAAGGGCAAGTTGTATATGTATTTGTGTGTGTGTGTGTGTGTGTGTGTGTGTTCTGTCTTCCTCTCTTACCTCACTTATTCTGTCACTTTCCTTTTGCAATTACAGGCACGTATTCACTCACCTCCACACTGTTAAAACACAAACACACACTCAGTCTCTCTTACTTCAAGATGGAGCAACTCCTTGTATTGCCTGTGGGGCTGCAGATGTCTATTGCTTTTGTCTGTTTTCCTCTGTCTCTCCTCCCCTCGGTTCGTCCGCCTATCCTTTTCTTTCTCCCCTTCTCTTACTCTTCCTGTCACTCTCCTCTTCATCTTGTCTGCCAGTCTCTCCCTCTCCACTTTCATTCCATTTCATCTCCTTCTTCATCGCTCCCTCCCACTTTCCTCATTTCGATTAGACTTCCTTCATGTATCCCTAATCTCCCTATCGT